TATATAGGTATATAGGGGAGCGATTAAATGAAAACCACTCAATTTGTAAAAACCTTAAAAATCCCAGTCCACCAATCATAATTTTTCATTTTGTTCGTATTTTTGTAATTATAAGATGTTGATTAATCATTTTTATTGTGGAAGATGTTAATCATGGATATAATCATCTTCATTATTTTAATTTTAGAGAAATACATGAAACAGTTTCATTAAAATTTCATTAAGTAGTATATGAAACAATTTTATAACCATATATGAAACAACTTCATCAAAAAAAGTATTATATGAAACAATTTCACAAGATTAAACAATTTCATGAAAAAATTTCATAAGATTACGACGGATGAGAGTAGTTTTTACGGTTTTTACAAATTGAAGTGGTTTTCATTTGATCGTTCATCTCTATATATATATATATTTAAATAACATTAAACCAAAATCTATTGCGAATTAAATCTGTGCAAAAAGACACAAATTACAACCATTTTGGGTTGTAACGCACTGGTGAGGTGATGTAGTGAAAATTTCAGTCGAGGGTTGATTGCAATAACTCTAAACCACAAGAGTGGTGCATGCTTGGTTTGAGTTTGATTCCAAAAATCAAAAGTAATTGGAGGTCTCAGGTTCAAATCCAAAGAGGAATAAATATCCCGTTGTGGTCACGGAAGTTCAAATGATGTGACTCCGTACTATCTGCAAAACAGGTGGTCCTCCTGAGATTAGTCGGCTCGCATAACGGGTTAGATATCCAGGTTAATAAAAAAAATTAGTTTGTACACGTAAATTAATCCGTATACCCACGATTACCAGATAAACGAAGATACTGCTCAGATACCCTGAACATATGCTTGTTTGTTTTTTTTATCGATTTGATTATTAACTTTTGGAAAATAATAAATAATTATCATMAAATTTCTCTAAAATACCAAGTAATCTATTGATTGTAAAATTACCAAAATACCCAAACAAAGAGGAGTTGGAGAAGCGATCAGAAATTACACTTTTCATATAACAACACTCAAAAAGATATTGCCAAAGCAGTAGTCTTTTGCATCGCTGGAACGGAATTTACTGATTACCGTTCACGTGGCGGGCTCCAATCAAACTTTGCCACGTAAGCAGGGAAGGGGCTTGCTCGTGGAGACCTCATCGGAAACTCGTTCGTAGGGTTTCCATCTCGATCGTAATAAATTACACCGGAGAAATCCAACGGCTGACATTTATCCCCCATCAGAATCTCCTTCTGCCACAAACCGTCGTCTCCGAAATCCGGACCGCCGTCGTCTTTCATCTTTCCTACGGCTCCGGTTCTCTTTTTACGGTGGCGCAACTTGATCGCCTTGTTGCTTATGGTGGCAATGAGTTTCCTCGGTCGCTGAATCATGGGTGAGTCCGGCGAGATCTTTGAGTTATCCTTTAACTTTCGTGAAGCTATAATAGCTTGTTTGGCGCAGTTCAACCATAGAGTTGTGACCGATTGCAACACACCGGTGGCGATACGCTTCGTCTTGCCGCCGGTGGAATCGTGGCCGTTGTGCTGACCTAGTGTTGTTATACGTATCATGTTGGAAGCAGTGACCGATTCTGATTGCAATGAATATGAGGAAGTGGAAGGAGGATCTGATGTACATATATAGGTGGGAGAATGTGAGCTGTTACCGGTAATAGCCGGTGATTCTGAAGGGTTTGACTGGCTCAAATTGTGGTGTTATTCTATTTTTATTTATTTAATTAGGTCACCAAAATATATTTATATATATCTAATAACTATGTTTGATCAAAAATTAAATTATAATATTTATAACTATATATATTTATTAATTATACATAAATAATTTATTTTTTAATATTAGAGTATAGTTTGCTAGTTTTTGAATAATTTGGTGCATAATGATTAAGTGATTAGAATATTTAAGAAACTCTTATGATATAGTGTAAAATGGAATATAATTGTTTGATAATTATTCAGAATGAAATTAGGGTGCTGAATGGTTCAGGGATGCCCAAGATACAAAATCATTCAGAGAGTTTTAGAACCATTAAGAGACAAAAAAAAATTGTCAAACAAGATTCACCTCTTAACGATTCAGAGAATGCCTCTTAATGAAACTATTAAGAGGTAAACAAACAACCCGTTAATAACAAGATGATATTTTCAAAATCCCTACACATTTTATTCTTTTTTATTATTCAGAGATGTTGTAATTTTTAAAATTATATAAATATTTTATAAGATATTAAGTACTTTATTATTCCAATTTGATTTATGTATATGAAATATAAATAGAGTTTCAGTTAAATATATATAATCGTAATTTTTGGAGACAATTATGAAAGGTTTTTTGAACCGTTTTATAGGTTTTGTATTATACGTATGTGAGGATAAATATTGAACTGATTTTAGATTCAAGATACATTTAAAACCACACTCGGTGGTATCATACAAGATACATGTATATTTACAAAAAGGTTGAGAACCGTGATGACTGATCTAAGCCTTCATTTAGTTTTGATCCTATGATTTTAATTGAAAGTTGTTTTTAATTAAAAAATGGCATAATTGGCATTTTGGTAACAAGATACACCAGATGAAATACATACTTATCATGCTATTTCACCAGATGAAAGAAAACACAATTTTCATAAATATGTTATTTCATCTCATGAAATACAGTGTTTGTATATATGTTATTTCACCACATGAAACCAAACACAATTTCTTCGTCAACTGGACGTCAAAATCTTCTCTATCTTTTTTAAAAATCCAAAATCCAACACAAATCTACAGGAACTTCAATCGAATCGAATATCTCATATTCAGAAGCAAAATCGCAACAAGAAGTAAAAGAAATGTGTTGTTGCGGCGATGATGATGGTGATGATGACTGTAAAGGCAGGTCGTGAGGGTTTCTCTTAGGCCTACCAGAACCTTATTGTTTTTGTGAATTGCATCACTGTGAACGGATGAATATTCTGGTGGCTGCATTCTTCACAATGTCAGTGATGGTCTTCTCCATGTCTTATCATTACGATCTCCTCCTTCAAAACGGCCATGTCGAAGATAATTTCTCAGGTACGACATTGTTTGCCTCCACTGAAGAAAATACCCCTTTCGTCTTCTTCAGTTTCTTGCAGATCCATGATTCATTTTGTGAAGATTGATATGAAATTACGCAAAAAAAAAATCTGAAGATGAGATAGATTACATACCCAGAATCCATCTGATACGAGTGGCTGATCTTTTGACATGCTTCAATGGCAAGGGGATTTAAGGTAGGATTTGAAGCTCGAGAACAATCAGCCATGACAACCCATCACCCTTTTCAAGTGGATGCGGTAATTCAGCTTCAAATTTAATCTATAATAAGTCATAAAGTTTTAATTTATTTCAAAATTGTCATTGCCTTTAATGACCATAGATTAAAATTAATTAATGGTTTAGATCGGTTTTCACAATTCACAATCTTTTTTTGTGGTTCTCATTTCATTACCGTACGTAAATAATTGTCTTTGGTAATATTTATAAGGGAAATTAATTAAAACTTGCTTTTTTTTTCAGTTTGATTTCATCTCGTAACCACTTTTTATAAAGTTTACCAAAATAACTCTAGGTCCGCAATTTTAGATTTTTTTATGGGTTTGTGTGAGAAATGTAATTTTTTTACGGACCAAGGTGATTTTTTTTTTGCAGAGAGGGGTTGAAAGTGTAACATTTTTTCTGTCTTTTAGTTGGGTCTGCAATTTCGAATGTGGGTTTTACAGACCTATAACTAATTTAATAAAATTAAAGAACCAATGCATCTTGTGCTATTTTATATGATTTTTTTTTCATTTATGACTAAAATTTAATGTAGTAGTTAATATTTATTTGCTTCACAATGTGTTTGTATCACATCTACTCGGTTTACAAATTGAACATTTTTGGTGTGTTTGTGAAATAGAAAGTACACGTAAAAAGGTTTTACATTGTGAATCGAATACATATGAAATAATCACATTGTGAAATAAATATATGATAACTAATAAATTAGATATTAAACTTAGGGGCCGTTTACCTAAACACTTACCCGGTAAGCACTTACCGATAAAATTTACACTATCGCTTACTTACCGGGTAAGATTTTATTCACTAAAACGCATCGTATGTAACAATTTATCCCGGTAAGCGCTGACCATGGTAAGAGTCATCGTCATCACTTACCGGGTAAGATTATTAGCCCTTGTCATATTCATTTCGTAAAGTAAAGTGACTTGGTAAGCGTTTGGTAAACGGCCCCTTAGATGAAATAAATCATGTGAAGAAAAGCTTAACGTAAAAGTTATCACGGTTATCATAAATATTAGAGTTCTTAAATGATTAAGCCATGTATATATTAATAGTATATGAATATATAACATATAACATTATGTTATGGTGTATAATATATAATAAGCGAATGATCGTGTGAGTAAAGAAAGTTATGGTGAGAAGCATAAGAAGATATATGAAACTTTGATCACTTTTAGTCTAATACTCACCCATTAATTACGCTTCAGAAGGTATTTGATCCAGTGCATCTCGGTGCACCTCGTAAGTGTTGACATTCAATTAGGATTATCCAAAGATAAAGATCTTTTTTTACGTTTCTCACCGTAACTTTTCTTCTCACCGAGATTTAACCATATATGATACATGAAGATATGATATATTTTTATAATATATAGTTATACAACATGTATTAATATATAAATATATTTGTAATGCAGAAATGTTTTCAAAAATAAATATATAATATATAACATATAATATATGTAATATATAGATTACATATATATAGAGAGAGGGGGGTTGGTTCAAATGTTAACCAAGTTTAATGTGTTAACTTTGTTAACCAATCTTGACAATTGATTTTTACAATAAACAGTTATGGTTTATCATATTAAATATTTAATTTTTTAAATTTACAATTTCACAAACATATGTGAACTAAGTGGAAAAGGGTATTTATGTAATTTTATTTTTTATGTAACTTTCATATTATTAATTGGGAGTAACAAAATCAAAAAATCTCATGATTTTTGTTAATGTAAGAAACATATGAACACATCTATATATATAAACCATTGTGCCAAATAAGAACAAAAATTGACATATATATATGAACTTGGACTGCATAGCATTTATGAACACAATATGAACATAATAAGAATAGCTTCTACACGAAAGGAAATAAATAAAAAACAGGTATGAACACAATATGAACAGCTTGTGAACAATAGTTTCTTCATTATTAACACATTCAGAAGCGAGCCAATATTGAGATATACAGCTAATGTACATATGAACACAATATGAACACTTGTGAACAATAGTTCCTTCATTATGAACATATTTAGGAGCGAGCCAATGTTGCGATATGCAGCTAGTGTACATATGAATACAATATGAACAACTTGTGAACAATAGGTCCTTCATAATGAACACATTCAGGAGCGAGCCAATGTTGAGATATGCAACTAGTGTACATATGAACACAATATGAACACTTGTGAACAWTAGTTCCTTCATTATGAACAATGGGTTTATCCATAATAGCTTGAACGATACCGAAAACTTTACTACCGGGTCTCTTCTACCAATCACAAATTCAAAAACACTATAGAAAGAAAAATCAATATTATATAAAAAAAAATCAAGATCAATAATAAATTAACAAAAATCATAGGATTTTTTAATTTTGTAACTCCCAATTAATGATATAGAAGTTATATAAAAAAGAAATTACATATTTACCCTTGTCATTAAATTATAAGATGAATATGAACCTATATATAAGATGGATTGCCATTAGTTGAAATAGATTAACAAAGTTAGAACCATAAACTTGGTTAACATTTGAATCAAACTCTCTCTCTCTCTCTCTCTCTCTCTCTCTCTCTATATATATATATATATATATATATATAGAAGCGATCAAATGAAAACCACTCCAATTTATAAAAACCGTAAAAACTACTCTCATCCATCGTTAATCTTATGAAATTTTTTCATGAAATTGTTAATCTTGTGAAATTGTTTCATATAATACTTTTTTTAATGAAGTTGTTTCATATGTGGTTATGAAATTATTTCATATACTACTTAATGAAATTTTAATGAAACTGTTTCATGTATTTTTCTAAAATTAAAATAATGAAGATGATAATATCCATGATTAACACCCTCCACAATAAAAATGGTTAATCAACCTCTCATAATTACAAAAAAATGAACAAAATGAAAAATTATGATTGGTTGGATGAGGTTTTCACGGTTTTTACAAATTAAGTGGTTTTTATTTGAACCCACCCCTATAT